CATTTATGATAAGTTGTTCTCTGTGAAGTTAATGTACACCATTTTAGCAAGTTCTTTGTAGAAATGTGGTAAGAAAATTAATAAAGAGACCTTGATACTACACAAATCTTTTATTAGTTTTGGAAGTCCAGTTATTATCTGACTTTCCATGTTATGTCTGATATGCGTGATGAGAGATTGTTTATTAATGTGACTCTTTCGAAAATAATAACAATTGTTTTCGAATTTGTGGAAAGCTAGTTTGTGGCGTAGTTAGGTGGATTTCTGTAAATGGAGTGTGATGAGAGATAGTTTAGTTTGTTCTATTTCTGTCTAGGTAGTGTGAAACGTAGTTTGATTGAAACGAGATACTCTTTTAGTTGATTCAAGTTGTTAAAATAAACTTGATAGGTTTGTAGTTGTTGTTTGTGTAATAACTTCTGAAAAGACCTTTATGGTTTATGGTTAGTCATTAAGTGGCTAACTTACCACAATCTACACTTTCGCCTATTTAACACCAACCTGCCTTCTATAATCAACATCATCTCCTTCTCTTTTATTCAATCTTCTCTGTTCTATATTGGTATGGATTCTAGTTATATAGGGCTTCTTAACAGTCAACACGAGACTGTTATCAATGAAAATTTCCTTATGAAAGTTTTCATAGTAGCATGAACCTGGGAGCTTCTGAGAATCCCCCTTTCAGTTCCCAACAAACCGACGTGCCTCCTCAACCTGAACCAACACCAGCTGAGCGTAACAACAGAAGGAAGTGGACGCCTGCTGATGATGAAGTTCTGATCATGCCTGGCTCAACACATCTAAGGATGTTGTTGTGGGAAATGATCAGAATGCTCGGACCTTCTGGAAACGAGTAGGGGAGTATTACAGGGCAAGTCCTCACGCGAGAGATGGTGGTGTAAGGACATAGCATCTCCACTGCAAGCAAAGGTGGCACAAAATCAACGATTGTGTCAACAAGTTTTGTGCGGCCTACTCAGCAGCAGAGAGACAAATCACCTCTGGTCAATACGAGACTGAAACTTTCAAGTTGGCGCATGAAATATTCTTCACTGATCACCAGACGAAGTTCAACCTCGAACACGCGTGGTGTGTGTTGAGGCATGAGCAGAAATGGCTTTGCCTCAACACTCCAAAAACTCTGGTTCAAAAGGGAAAATCTGCTGCGTCTGGATCCCAAGCTTCAAGCCCCGATGTTGGTAATCAGGATCAAAGCTGCTAAAGCTAAAAATAAAAATGGTCATGGGAAGTCGATGGCTGAGTACACGACTATTTGGGAGATGAAGAAGGAGGATTTGACGATGAAGAAGAAGCTCTCGAAGCTTGCTATTCTAGACACCCTACTTGCCAAAAAGGAACCTCTCACTGAGGTTGAAGAAGTGGTCAAGAACAAGCTACTCGCCTCGTACTTCTGAGACTTAAGTATTCTAAATAATGTTCTATGTCGTTTGCCTTATGTTCTAAGTTTAACTCATGTTCTATGTCATCTGCCTTTATGTTCTAAGTAGTTAAAATTATGTTTTCAAATTCCAAATGTACTAGCTCTATCTTTGTACCACCTCTATCTTTATTAATGAATCGGTTTAATGTTTTAGTTCTTTTTCAAATTCTTAGAGTTTCTCAATATACTTCCCTGCTTCCTCAATATACTTCTTTGTTTGTTAAATGTTTTAATTCTTTTTTAAAATTCTCAGAACTTGTCAATATACTTCTTTGTTTGTTAAATGTAAACATATAACCTTCTCTAATTTATTATTGCAGGTCAAGTGAACGATGGGTTTAGATTACAGTTACACACAGCCTTCTTCCTCAGAGGCGTATGGTTGCAACTCAGCTGACAGTGGGTACAGCGAAACAGAAGCGCTTATTCGGGAGGACCAAGCTCAGCTAAACTACACCAACAGAGAGGTTCACTACCCTCCACAGCCAGAGGTTGAGTTCGGGTTCCCTCAAACATGCTACTGTGGTGCTCAACCACAACTGGCAACATCTTAGAGTAGAAGTGATCCAGAAGACGATACTACACTTGTGCAAATGCTGACAATGGAGAGTGTCACATTTGGAAGTGGTGGGACGTGGCAGTTATGGAGGAGATGAGAGCAAGGGACACTCATACGCTGCAGTTGGCCGAGAAGGTTGATTTTCTCACTGGTTTTAATGACTACGGAACACACCTAAACCCCACATTGTCTCTCCGTAACGAGACTGAGGAGAAATTGGTAAGGGTAGAGAAGCTACTTTCTCAATTAGTTGATAGCAGTTCAAGGAACAGAAGTGGGTTTGGCTTCGAATACTTTGTGGGAGTTATCGTTATGGTGTTGGTTCTGATAGGTTTATTCGTAGTGACGCGGTAAGAACATGATTGTAGTGACTTTTTGTGAGTGATCGTTATGGTGTTGGTTCTAATCGTTTTGTAATACTCAAGTGTAATCTGTTTGAATGCTCTACTTGAATGATGTAATGTGACCTCTGTTATGTACGAACCTTTTTAAAAAAAAAACTGTTGTGCTCGTGGTTTAATTCATATGTTTGGGAATGTGTTAAGTGAGTCACAAGGAATGTGTTAAGTGTGTACACCAACCAATTCATACCAAATAATTAGGTGAGCTCGTGAGGAATCCAAACAATCATGTTTGTTTCTTGTACACTATAAGAGTATCAAACATATCTATGATTATTCACACCACTCTCGAAACATATAGAAAACCGATAACAATTTTCTTTCCCAACCTTTCTCAAAAAATTGTCTTCCCTTTTTACAAATAAAATGGCATCATCATCTTCTCATTATCATTACCATAATGATAATAATGATGCTGATTTTGAAGATATCTTTGATGATTTTTTGGAAAACCCTGATCTTATTCCAGAACCAAAAGAGCGAAAATCTCGTATTTTTATCGAGAGAAACCGGGAAAAAGGCCATCAGATGCTTTGGAATGATTATTTTTCCGACACCACAACATACCCTCCCAATATATTCCGCCGACGGTTTCAAATGAGTAGACCCTTGTTCTTGCGTATAGTGGATCGTATCTCAACGGAAATAGATTATTTTCAACCAACACACGATACTGCCGGGAGGCCCGGTCTATCACCGCTCCAAAAATGTACGGCGGCGATTCGTCAATTGGATTATGGTGCTGGAGCTGATGCTATGGATGAATATATTCGACTAGGTGAATGTACGGCTCGAAAATGTCTGCACAAATTTGCCGCCGGCATAATCTCATTGTTCGACGATGAATACCTAAGACGTCCCACGGCAGATGATCTAGAAAGACTACTCCGTATTGGAGAAGATCGGGGATTTCCAGGGATGATTGGAAGCATCGACTGTATGCATTGGGAGTGGAAGAATTGTCCCAACGGTTGGAAAGGAATGTATTCACGAGGAACCGACAAGCCAACAATTGTGTTAGAAGCCGTAGCTTCATATGACCTTTGGATATGACACGCATTTTTTGGAGCTCCAGGTACTATGAACGATCTCAATATTCTTGATCGATCACCTGTTTTTGATGACATTATTAACGGAGTTGCGCCAGAAGTTACTTATTATGTCAACGGAACAGAGTACAATTTGGCTTATTATCTTACAGGTGGTATTTATCCCAAATGGGCGACTTTTATTCAATCTATCCGGCTACCACAAGGTGAGAAACATTCTTTATTTGCACAAACTCAAGAATCTGTCCGCAAAGATGTTGAACGTGACTTTGGAGTCCTTCAATCTAGATTTGCCATTGTCAAAAATCCCTCAAAATTATGGGATAAAGCCAAAATATCAAACATTATGAGAGCATGTATCATACTCCATAATATGATCGTCGAAGATGAAAGCGAATCATTCGCTCGATATGATGTTTTCGAATATCCACAAGCAGAAGATGTTGATCTTACATTTTCCGTAGAAATGGCTAGCAATCTCGGGAATTTAATGGATCGGCGCACGAGAGTTCGAAATAGACAAGCCCATGAACTTTTAAAAAATGATTTGATTGAAAACATATGGGCTAAATTTGGACATCTTCAATAAAATTTCTAAATTTTAAATTTTTAGAGATTTAATAAAAATATTATGATGTTTGTATTTTTTTTTTAATTTCTCTGTAATTTTCTTAATATTATGTTTGCGATTTCAATATTTTATATTCAATTTTATATTTGTCTTATATATCTCATTATTTACAAAAAGACAAAAATATCTCTAAGGACTAACAAATTAAGGACGACCAATAATCTACACAATTACCTAAATCCTTGACAACACCTCTTAACTTAACTATAATACTAAAATAACTTAAGGATTAAAATTGGGGGACAACCAATAATCATGCTCTAAGTATACCGTTATCAGTTTCAATGCTTGAGTACGTTTTTACTTTGACTTGAATTATCCAAATATATGTGCCAGATCCCAGATGCAACAATATAGTGCTAGACGTACCAGAATTCTTCCCAACAGGTGTAGTATATCTGGTTTGTAATGACATATGTACCATACATTTACACTATCTATCATATGTTCCAAATGCACTAGTAAAAGTGCGAGATATACTATAGAAAGTTCTATCTATTAAATGTATTCAAAGATCTCTTATACTATCATATGTAACAGACATTCCTTCTATCAGATGTACAATATGCTAGACATTAGAGGATTAAGAATATACTAAAATGCACATACTAAGGAATAAAGTTAAAACGAATTGAAAAGGAGGAGGAATATGCCAAAATTTTGCTTACAAACCAAATTGGCATACGTTGATGTGACGAGTGGTACACCCAAAATTACCATATAAATAGAAAAGTGTGTCATGTAATGACACTGCATCATCCTCAAAAGGAAAACATACTTTGAGTCTTATAGACCATCACAAAAATAGATATCTCCCGAGTCCTGACTTTGGTTTCTTTTCAGTTGATGTTCCCTAGTTATATATATACGCCTTCCTATAGTTATTTGCCTATACTCCAATCTTTTATCGCCTCAAAACTCACATAACGTAGCAAGCGTTGGGATCCTCCTCGCTAAAAAGATTTGTGATTGGGCCTCCCACGAAACCGTAATGCCCAAGCCCATAGTTGAAACCATAGCATGGCAAGGCTGGTGACCCGGGTTTCTCCTCTGCATTCTCTTTCTTCTTGTCCTTCTTCTCAGGCACAACCTGGATAGTTTTCTTCAGCTTCCTTTTCAGATTATCTGTCACTGTCTTAACCTCCATAGTCCCTGTGACACTAACCACTGCCTTGTCCCTGTCTATTTTCACCTGGTAGACTCCTGGTTAACACACATACTCAGTCTCGTTAGAAACAAGACCAAAACAAGTTTTGTAGAGTCAATAATAAACACACAGAAAGCTCATAATCATTTAACAATAATGGAAGAAACAGAGAGTATTGTTTGGATTAAATGAGAAAGGCCTGACCTTTGGTCTTGAAGATAGTCTTGTGAATCCTCTTGATGCAACCATCACATGCACAATCCAACTTCAGGCTCACTGTGGTCACAGCGATCTATAACCAAAGTAGTCAAACAACAGTTCTTTTAAGTTAAATGCATTTCACACAACGTATTTGAAAGGCTGTAATCCGTATGAGCACCTATATAGATAATGGATAAACTATATATATATTCACAAGTGAGTCATCTGAGAACAAGAACGTTTCTTGAGACGCAAGTAACTCTAATACAACTACTAATCATGGTTTCTAGTGTAAACGCGAGCAAGGAAATGCATTTCAAAGGTGAGTTTAAAAGCGTTACCATAGTAGTCTTGACATCAGGCTTTGTGTCATTGTTAACTTTGACATCAGGCTTTGTGTCATTGTTAACTTTGAAATCAGGCTTTGTGTCATTGTTAACTTTGGTTTCTTTCTTAGGCTTTGGAGATAGCAGCTCGACCTTCTTCTTGGTCTTCTTCTGCAACTTCTCAGCAGTCTTCACAGGATCCATGAATCCAATGAGAGTGAGCTTGTTAGAAACAGGATCTGCTCTCACCGTCTCAACTCCTGATCAATACAAATCAAAATCAACAACACAGGAGAAAGTTAATGAAGTGCTGAGAATCATACGTAGTAAATTAATAACAACAGTTAATGAAATCAAAACGATGAAACAAATATCCACAGATCCAAATCATCAAATTATCACAATCGCTGCGTAAGTGTCAGAACAGAGGTCTGCATGTACATGTATGATCCTGAAATTAGATTCGAGAAAAGATATTGGACGGACGCTAAGATTGATTTTAGACTCGGCGAAGATTTTCCGGGAAAATAAAAACTTACGCCCTTTCCGGGAAAATCGAAACGTACGAAGAAACTAAGTGCTTTCCAGGAAAATCGAAACATACGCAGAAACTAAGGGCAGAGGAAAGCATGACGAGATTATGTATTTAGAAACATTGAGGCGATTGAGTGTTAATGGTGGAATCGATTTGATTTGTAGGGATTTAAGTGAGGAGGATAAAAAACCTTCCAAACAACGAGCTGATCTGATGATCCTGTCGATACATCCGTCGCAGTGAAAATCCACATGAAGAACAACGTGAACCGGTTCTTTTTGCTTCTTCTCCACGTCTTGTTGGTTCTTACACTCGCACGTCTTCTCCATCTTCTTCTGCGAACAACATCGAAACAAAATAAATAAAGAAATAAGGAACATCAAAAAACGACGAAACAGAAGAGGAATCAAAAACGTTGAATCGTTGGGGAAAAGAAAAATCAGCGGAGAAAAATGTGTGGGGGGGGGGGTTTGAACCTGAATCACAATGCTTCTTGAGATTTTTTTTTCTTGTGAAGAATCAAAAGATGGAGAGAGGAACTGGAAAAGACGACAGAAAACTGCAATTGGTTAGGTTAGTACGAGAGAGAGGCGGCGAGAGGGTGTGTGAGAGAGATATGTATGCTCTTCAGACTCCGTACTCTCTTTTTGTTACTCGCTCCCTCTCTTCCTCATCACTCCACTTTTTCGATTTTTTGTTTTACGAAACATATTCCACGTCAGATATTTGCTTATTCAATTATTTTTGAATTAGCATTAAATGATTGATTGATACCGTCGACGTGTTTAGGAAATGGCGATTCTTGCGGCGATTCTCGTTGGCATTATTTCTCTTTTCAGAGCGATTTTCCGACCACGTTCCTTGCTCTTAGGGCGGTTTATGTCGGTTTTTCTCCACTAAGCCTTGACTTTGGTGGTTTCTTTCCGTGGATCTCTCCTATCTACGGTTTCTTTTATCTGGAACCGCCATGGATCCCTCTATATTTATGTCTTCCCCTTCAATTTCATCTGAATTCTCAACTTCATCACAATTTAAACATGGGTGATAAATTACGCCAGAAGATGCAGCGAATTACTCTCGGTATTGATGATGAACCAGTGGCTCTCCCTCCGGCTGTTTGTGCACAAGCCGCTACGCGTAATCAGTATTCTTTGGTGGTGGTTCCAATTAACCCGAAGAAACAGAATCTCAGGGTCATGATAAGTCAATTGCCTCGTCTTTGGGGTGTTGAGGCGACTGGTCGTATCATTGATGCTAACCGTCTACAGTTCATCCTCCAATCTGAAGAAGCGTTGTTGGTTGTAACCAGACGAGCCCCTTGGTCCTTTGCGGAGTGGATGCTGTCTGTTCACCGGTGGTACCCAAATATTGGAGAAGAAGAACTCAAGATCATTCCTTTTTGGGTTCAAATTGGTGGAATCCCTCTTCAATATCTCACTCGTCCAATGATTGAGTATATTGGGGGTATTTTGGCCCCGGTATTTGATGTGGATTTTGATGAAAATTCCACTAGAGTGGAATTTGTTCGTGTTCAACTTCTCTGGAACGTCGATAAGCCTCTTCGATTTCAACGTCATTTCCAATTCTCTGAGGATGTGAACACTCTCCTATCCTTTCAGTATGAGCGTCTGCGTGGGTTCTGTCAGACTTGTGGTTTTCTTACTCACGAGAAACATGATTGCCCTTTAGGATTTGATCCTGATGAACAGCCTCCTTCGGGATCTGATGATGATGATGGAGGCGATGATGACTTGGGTCCTCTTGATAAAGATGTTGAAGTGCTCCTACCAAAAGACTCAATTCCTGTTTTGCCTTCTGATACAATGGAAGTTGTGGATAGTGTTGGTGAATCTGAGGAGTTGTCACAACAAGGAGTTAAGAGGAAGCGTAAGGAAACAAGTGAAGAGTTGTGTAATACTCATGAGATGAAGGTATTAGTGGATAGGAGTGATACCATTTCAGATGATTTTTGGGCAAAAGCTCCTTGGGCTGCGGTTCATGCTGAGTATGAAAGGAGAATAGGTCATATTCGTACTGCTAGAAAGTATTGCTTTGTGGAGGAGCTTCTTTCAAAAGACTCTTCTTCCTCTGCTGTTATGAGAAAGGATACTTCATGGATGTGGAGGGAAAGGATGATGATGATCATATCATCCTTCAAATGGAGGAACGATGGGGAGCGGGCTCGGTGTTTGATTTCTTCCCAACTCTAGAGGAGAATCAGTTGCATCATGAGTCGCATGAAGATATGGAAAAGATGTTGAGCTTGGAGACATCTGGTTTGGATACACAGGGAGTGAGTTCTAATGAAGACATGGTTGTTCAGGGCTCAACCGATATGGTGATCAAGAATTCAGAGTCTTCGGTTTGTACTACAATTGGTCAGAATTCTGATTTCCAGGGTTATTGTCAGAGTGGTGGTGAAAATGCTGTTACGAAGCGTCCGTTTGATAGGGTTTACAGTCGTCGTCATGGAGGGTCAGGCTTCAAGGATAATAAAAGATTACGTGAGGGGGAAGTGACGCTCACTAAGTTTACTGTCGATAATCAAGGTGGTTTTCCAAGGAATGAAGCTCTTGGCAAGATAGAGCGTGATTATTGTGATGCGTTTGAACCAGGGAGCGTCCCTCAACAAGACAGAGGCGCGGTGGGCCCAATACCACCATTGGTCCCATGAGAGTTGAGGTGTGGAACTGTTGAGGCATGGGGCAACGCCTGACAGTTCGACGTCTAAAGGAGATGCAGAGGCTGTATCTCTCGGACCTGTTGTTCCTAGTTGAAACTAAACAGAAGAATGACTATGTTCGAGACATTGGTGTGTATTTGGGTTATGATCAGATGATGATAGTCTCCCCTGAAGGATTAAGTGGTGGTTTAGCTGTTTTCTGGAAAGAATATGTATTTGTTTCTGTTATTTCTAGCGATGTACGTTTGGTTGATCTTCAAGTGCAATATAAAGCTTTTCAGTTTTATTTGTCATGCATTTATGGACACCCTAATCCTCAATATCGCCATACTCTTTGGGAACGATTACAGAGAATCTTTATATCTAGAATGGGTGCTTGGATGATTTGTGGCGATTGTAATGAGATTACTAAACCAGAAGAGAAAAAGGGTGGCCGAGTTCGCACCTTTACGAGCTTGGTAAATTTTAATACAATGCTTCAAGTGTGTGGAATGAAAGATCTACGGTTTAAAGGAAACCAGTTCAGTTGGGTAGGAAGACGGAGGAAAGAAGTTATTGAATGCTGTCTAGATAGAGTGTTGGTTAATTCTGAATGGCAGAGACGATTTCCAGTTTCTGAGAATGAGTATTTGGAGTTAGCAGAGTCAGATCATAGGCCTATGATTATCTCAATTGGCTATCAGAGCCAAGGTCGTAAAGGGTGGTTTCGTTATGATAAACGCTTGTTTAGCAATGAAGAATTTGTTGTTCGTATCTCTGAAGTTTGGAATGATACTAGAGTTATATATGGTTGGAATAAGAAGCTTGCTCATTGTCGGCGTGCTATGATCCAATGGAAACGTGATAATCACTCTAATTCTGCTGTATAGATACAAGAAATTCGTGCTCAGATTGATACAACAATCCGTGATGCTTTGATTTCTATGGAATATATTCAGGAGCTCAGAGTTAAGTTAAATAAAGCTTTTCAGGATGAGGAGGAGTTTTAGAGGCTTAAAAGCAGGAACAAATGGCTTAATTTAGGAGATCGTAATACTCCATTTTATCATGGAGTTACTAAGTTAAAAAAGGCTCAGAATAAGATCAATGGGATGTTTGATAAGAATGGTATTCTGCATTCAACAGATGAGACTATAGCTAAGATTGCAGAAGAGTATTTTGTTCAGATGTTTTCACCATCTGATATTGTTCCTCTCCTGGACATTCTACCATCTATTAGACGAAAAGTTACTAGTGAGATGAACAGCCAGTTGATTAGAGCCGTTACAGATGAAGAGATCAGTCATGCTTTATCTCTCATTGGATCTGATCGTGCTCCGGGTCCGGATGGCTTCACCGCTTCTTTCTATCAGCAATTTTGGAGTTTGATAAATGTTGATGTCTGCAATATGGTCCGGAGTTTCTTTATATCTGGAGATATGGAACCAAACATTAACCATACCAATATATGTCTGATTCCCAAATTTCCTGATGCTCGGAACATGAGTGATTTTCGTCCAATTAGCTTATGCTCTGTTGCATATAAGTTAATTTCTAAAATCCTCTGTCTCAGATTACAGGGTTGTTTAGATGCTATTATCTCTGACTCTCAGGCTGCCTTTGTTCCTAATCGTCAAATCTCTGATAATATTTTAGTGGCTCACGAGCTTATGCATGCCTTGAAGATGAAGAAGGACTGTTCTGAGCAGTATATGGCAATCAAGACTGACATCAGCAAAGCTTACGATCGTGTAGAATGGTCATTCTTGGAAACAATAATGGAGATGTTGGGGTTTGATAGTAAATGGACTCAGATGATCATGACATGTGTGCGTACAGTTTCTTACTCAGTAGTGATTAATGGCATTCCGTATGGCTATTTTAAACCGGCGAGGGGTATACGACAAGGTGATGCTTTGTCACCTTACTTATTTCTAATGTGTGCAGAAGTGTTAAGTTTGATGTTAGATGTAGCTCAAGATCAACGGTCTTATGATGGGTTGAAGTTATCACGACATTGCCCACAAGTAAGTCATCTTCTTTTTGCTGATGACTCTTTATTCTTCTGCCGAGCAACTGTGAGGGATGCTAGATGTATGGCTCAGATACTTCGGCAATATGAAAGTGTTTCAGGACAGCAAGTTAATTTTGCTAAATCTTCTATTATCTTTGGCTCTAAGATTGATCACACTGTTCGTAATCATATTCACCATATACTCCAAATTCAGTCGGTTGGTGGAGGAGGTAAATATCTAGGACTGCCTGAGCAGTTGGGCAGAAGTAAAGTCTTGGAGTTTACAAGTGTGGTTGATAAGATAAAAGCTCAGTTAAAACCATGGTATAACCAATATTTGTCATCGACTGGTAAAGAGGTATTGATAAAGTCGGTTCTCCAAGCTAAACCGGTGTATCCAATGAGCTGTTTCTTATTACCTAAAACTATTTGTGATGATATTAATTCCTTGCTATCTGGGTTCTGGTGGGGTTACAATGGTGATAAAAGGAAAGTGTCTTGGATTGCCTGGCAAAGATTATGCTATTCTAAGAAGGAAGGAGGTATGGGATTTAGAGATTTGTACACTTTCAACAGAGCCTTGTTGGCGAAGCAAGCTTGGAGGATTCATCATCATCCAAATTCTTTGTTAAGTAAGATCTATAAAGGAAGAT